TTCAATATCATACTGGAAATTCTAGCTAATGCTATAAGACAACAAAAGGAGATCAAGGGGATCCAAATTGGAAAGGAAGAAGTCAAACTGTCTCCATTTGCCGATGATATGATAGTTTACATAAGTGACCCAATAAACTCTACCAGGGAACTCCTACAGCCAATAAACACCTTCAGTGAACTAGCAGGATACAAGATAAACTCAAAAAAATCAGTAGCCCTATGTTTTTCAGACGACAAAGAAACAGAGAAAGAAATCAGAGAAACATAACCCTTTACAATAGACATAAAGTATCTTGGTGTAACGCTTACCAAACAAGTAAAAGTCCTATATAATAAGAATTTTGTGGCTCTAAAGAAAGAAATTAAAGAAGATATCAGAAAATAGAAAGATCTCCCATGCTCTTGGATAGTTAGGATAAACATAGTAAAAATGGCAATCTTGCCAAAAGCAATCTACAGAGTCAATGCAATCCCCATTAAAATCCCACTACAATTCTTCACTGACCTTGAAAGGATAATAATCAATTTTATATGGAAAAACAAAAGAGCCAGGATAGCCAAAACAACCCTATACAATAGAAGAACTTCAGGAGGCATCACCATTCCTGACTTTAAGCTCTACTCCAGAGCTATAGTTCTGAAAACAGCCTGGTATTGGCATAAAAGTAGACAGGTAGTCCAAAGGAATCGAATTGAAAATCTTGATATTTACCCACCCACCTATTAACACTTGATTTTTGACAAAGCAGCTAAAATTTTATAATGGGGTGAAGACAGCATCTTCAACAAATGGTGCTGGCACAACTGGATGAGGGTGTGTAGAAGATTGCAGGTAGACCCATGTCTGTTGCCATGCACAAATCTCAAGTCCAAATGGATCAAAGACCTCAACATCAATCCAGCCACATTGAACCTCTTAGAAGAGAAAGTAGGAGGTACGTTGAACAAATTGGTATAGGAGACCGCTTCCTGAACATAACTCCAGGGGCACAGACACTGAGAGCAACAATTAAGAAATCAGACCTCCTCAACTTAGAAGGTTCTGTAAAGTAAACGACACAGTGGACAAGACCAAATGGCAACCCACAGACTGGGAAAAGATTTTCACCAATCCTTTATCCAACAAAGGGCTGATCTCCAAAATATACATAGAACTCAAGAAACAATTCACCTTCTTCTATGCCTATTATTCTTAGGTTTGGCCTTTTCATGGTGTGCCAAATTTCCTGGATGTTTTGTGTTAAGGATTTGTTAGATTTAAGATTTTCTGTGGTCGATGAATCTATTTTCTCCATTTTATCTTCAATGCCTGAAATTGTTCTTTCTTCTCTTATATTCTCTTGGTTATGCTTATTTCTGTAATTCCTCATCATTTGCCCAGTTTTTCTATTTCCAGCATTCCTTCTGTTTGTGTTTTTTAGTGTCTCTATTTCAGTTTTCAAGTCTTGAACTGTTTCCTTCATCTGTTTGATTACTTTTTCTTAGCTTTCCTTACTTCTTTAAGAGATTTGTTCATTTCTTCCAATATTTTGTTTGTGTTTTCTTCCTTTTCTTTAAGGGATTTTCTAACCTCATCTTTGAAGGCCTGTATCATTTTTATGAAGATATTTTTAAGTGGTTCTCTTCTGCTTCATCTGCTTTGGGGTGTTCAGTTCTAGTTAGTGTAGAGTCCTTAGATTCTGGTGGTGTCATGCTTATCTTTCTATTCTTAGGTATTTTCTTGTATTGCTGTCTTCCCCTGGCTTCTTCCAGTGGGTGCAGGTGGGGTTACTCTCTCTCTATGCTACTCTCCCAATGGGCTTAGGTGGGTCAGAATTTCAATGTCTGTAGTTCTGCGTAGTCCTAGCTCTCTAGAAGGTCTCTCTTCAGGCATGGACCCAGAACTGCAGTTCAAAGATCAGGCTTCAGTAGACGCCTGGGAATCGGTGTCAAAGATCCGGCATGCAGGGACACAGGATGGTCGTATGGGGATAGGCGGATCTTTGGCAGAGACCTGGAACTCCAGCAGAGGACCAGCCATGGGGGTCAGAGTTCAGGCAGGCAGGGAGTCAGGGTGGTCCCTTGTAGGTAGGCAGGACTTGTGGTCTTGTGTGCTCCAAGGAACTCCAGGGAGTTCCCCGAAAGTGGAGGGATTGTTGTATCAGCCCTTTGTTCCAGCGCTCAACCAGAGTGGTGGGACAGTGGGCAGGGTTTGCACAGGGTGGGGGGAGAGTAGGCTATTCGTGTGTGTGTGTGTGTGTGTGTGTGTGTGTGTGTGTGTGTGTGTGTGTGCGCGCGCTTTTGTGTATCAGAGCACCAGGAGTGCTTTTTGCTGGGGGACAGGGCACAGCAGGGAGCCCAGAATTTTCTTGTTAGTCAGATTTAATAGAAAGGATGCTCTTATTGATCAAGCTTGTTAAGAAGCTGAACGTCATTTTATATTAACTTTAGATAGTACAGTTGCAGCATTTGACCTTGAAAAAATATTCCCCACCTTTGACTGTGCTGAATTATTTCTTTGTGTAGACCATGCAGGGGGAAACAGAGCCATTGCTCCTTGCATCAAGACAGAAGCAGAAATTCAATACTTCAAAGAGAATTTTCAGTCCAGCCCTTCCTCATAGAGTTGTAACTTTATAGCTGGTCATTAGAAAGGGGTATGTCTTCCTGGAAGCTTGACTGTAGCTGCCTTCACTTTCTTTTACAGCTGTGATATGCAGAGGGGACTTTAGGAAGTAGATGAAAACTGTGCTCTCTGGGGAGAATCCTAGCTGCTGCATCTAAAGGGTAAGAGCCTCGTGCTAGCCAACATCACAAAAATTGTAAGTGCTTTTGGCTGGAATCCCAGGGATCTGGGGTTGATAGATGTGGAAAGTCATCCCTCTATGTAATGCCTGAAGATGGCTCCAGGTTGATAGACAGCACATAAATGATCTTAATTCCAAGTCCATGTTCTTTCTCCCTCCCTTTTCTTCTCACTCTTCCACTGCCTTACAAAATAGGGTTTTGGTTTTGTTTTTTTTTTTTTTTTTTTTTTTTTTTTTTTTTTGTTTTTTGTTTTTTGTTTTTGTTTTTGTTTTTTTGTTTTTTTGTGTTTTCTACTCAGTTTTCAGTAAGTTTGTGCTAAGGAAATGGAGCTTCCATTCTTCACACATCCTGATCCACTGCAGCCCCAACAATACCCTTATCTATAAACATCTAAGGGCTTGAAGTTGTGCCTTTGGTAAACATCTGGCACTGAAGGTCTTTGACAGAGTCTACAGATTAAACACCTATTTTTATTTATTCCATGCTGCAATCAGTTTTCTTGGTTTGAAGCACAGCTCTTCCCTCTCACTGAGGCAGTAGCCATTAGGGTGTGCTCAGATGACTCACCCTACTTCCTGCCTGCCCTTGAGCTGACTGTTATATATCTGCAGGATCACCACACAGGCAGCTCCCTAACATGGGGGGAAAGTGTTGTTATCTAGTGGCATTCAGTTGAAGTCTGTAACTTTGGTCACCTCAGGAGCCAATTCCTTCCTCAAGGGCCTTTGAGAGCTTCCTACCCTGTGAGCAGGAAGGAACACTTGCCACAGAAGTGAGGAGAGGTGAAACACTCATTGAGATAAATTTGTTCTGAGGTTGGAATCAGGACAATGTTTCATTGTGGGAGAGTCTTGTCCTCACTCCTCGCTCAGCCTCCTGCAGTGGCCACTGCCAGCCTGTGATCTCTGCTGCCAGACACAGTTCATCCTTCAGCTGAGCTGCTCCTGGGTGAGTCTCCTGCTCTAAGCTTCCTGCAGCTGCCAGTAGAAATTCTTCTTCTCCTGCTCCAGGTTCCTCTACCTGCCCCCAGGGAAAGACCTTCCCAGTGCTTGCTGTCCTCCTCCTTGCTTAGCTGCTTCCTTGGTGCAGCTGCCCATATCTGAACCATTCTAATGCTCTCAGACTTTTCCAATGACTCAAAACAGCAGGTGTAGAAAATAGCCCATTTTGGTAGGTTTTTCTGACTGAAATGTATAGGAAACATCACTGATATCAGAGGGATAGTTCCCAGAGAGATATCAAAGGGAGGTGTCCCCAGACTTCAGCTTTCAGCCTAGCCTAGGGCTTAGATACGGAACTCAGGATTTTGTACAAGTTGACAAGTTCTGCACTGAGCTATAACCCAGTCGGAGAGTTTTATATGGTCATTAGGACCAGCCTGAAGGACCTAGAAACAGTCCTCCAAAGCCTTCAGCATCCCTGATGCTCAGGGAAAAAAAAAAAGATGTTCTTTTAAGAGGGTTTTCTTGCCTGTAGATCTGAAAGAGAAGGCTGGGCTTCTAGGGGATTCCTCTTTAGGAAACTGAACAAGCATTATGTGTTCTCCCAGTTGAGCCCTTTTAGATCCTCAGGATAAATTTCCAGTGGAACCCACCCTTGAGGGTGTTGGGCACTGTGGTCACATAGCATGACAACAGGGAAAAGTAAGCTACTACATGGTTAGATTTAGAAAGGCCCAGGACAGCTGCCAGGGCTATCAGGGACTATCATTGGAATTAGCCCAATCTCTTGACTCTGTGGATAAAATAATCATGTAAATCATAACCTGGGAAAATCTTTGCCATCATATTACGTGTAAGATTTATATAATATCATAATTAATGATATATGTTAAGGAATATCTGTATTAAAAGAAATATTGCATGCATAATCTTTATCTACTTGAGAACATTTTTTTTGATTTTTGGTTTTTTCTTATTTTACATATCACTCCCAGTTTCTTTTCCTTCCTTCCCTTCCTCCCTCATCATGCCTCCGACATTTTTAAAAATAGTGTAACAGTTTTAATTTATCTTTGAAAGTTTTATAGATGTGTGCAATATATTTTGGTTATCCTCACCCAAAATTCTCACCTTCCAGCTCCCCCTTATCTCTACAGCAGGTCTGTTTTATCAGCATATCCCTTTATTTTGTTATCTTTTTCTTAACCTATTGATTCTAATTAGTGCTGCTTGCTTATATGTGCATAGGTTCAAAGTCATCTATTGAAGCATGGGCAATTTACCAGGGACCAAGTCCCTGAAGAAAAATGATTCCCCCCACCAGTTCAAGTAACTCTGAACTGCAAAGCTCTTCAGGTAGGGATTAGACTGTATGTGTCCCTCCCCAATCAGTGCTGAAATATAGACTGGTCTGATGGTGCATGCCTTCTGCAGGTAATAACACCTGCTTTGAGTTCATAATGACAATGTTCCTGTCATGGACAGAAGACACTGACTTACAGTAGTTCTCCCTAACCTCTGGCTCTTAAGAGACTTTCTGCCACTTATCTCTGATCTCTAAGCATTGTAGGAATGTGATAGGTATTGGTGGACAGACAAGATGATATAGATGGCTTTTTAGAACTAAGCACGTAATAATCATTTATTTACTCTCTGCATTGCCATGTGATCTGCAAGAGAGAAGCGCATTAGCTGGTGCCATGGATGGTGTAACACTAACATGAACACCTTAATTTCCACAGAAACGTGCAGTTACCATGGAACATCACTGTGGTCTAATCACTGGTGACAAGGAGCCAGGTAAGCCTGACTTACTACTCTTAGTGATGAGATGTTTGTACCCAGCACAACCTCTCATCTACAGTGCCGCTTCTAGATTATTGATCTTCTAAATACTGATATCTTTCCCAGTGCCACTGAAGAGCATTTCAGTAACCTTGTTTATTAATGACTTTGTGGCTGGTGTGTCTACTACCTTAAATTATGAGAATAAGGAAGAAATCCCAGTAGAGGCAGTCTTTGTGTTCCCCATGGATGAAGACTCTGGTGTCTACAGCTTTGAAGCATTGGTGGATGGAAAGAAAATTGTAGCAGAATTGCAGGAGAAGAAGAAGGTCTGAATGATGAGTACATTATCTATTCTATTATTACTTTAAATTGAATTCTACTTTTATCTTGATAAACAATTCATGAGTATGAATGCTGACTATTCCTTCTTTCATTCATTTCTACTTAACATTTTTCTAAAATCAATAAGGCAGAGGGAATCAAGTAGAAGCTACTAGAATAATTGTAAAGTTCATGGGATCTATGACACACCCTCTAAACATTCCATATTTTCTTGACTTCATGTGATTTTATTTCCACCCTCCCTGCCCTGGTTCTAGGCCCATAGCAACTATGAGGATGCCCTCTCCCAGGGCCACCAAGCTTACTTACTGGAAGTGGATAACTACTCCAGGGATGTCTTTTCTTGCAATGTTGGGAACCTCCAGCCTGGGGCTAAGGTCGGAGTTACCTTGAGGTATGTGCAGGAATTGCCTCTGGAAACAGATGGTGCCTTGCGGTATGTGCTCCCAGCAATCTTGAATCCAAGATACCAGCTCTCTGGTAAGTAATTTCTACCTTTGAAAACCAGAGGTACAACGGCTGGGTGGATATGCCAAATTATGTTTGTGTTGAAAATTGTTGCCATGGAAAACAGAATTAATGTACTTTTTTTATAGAACTGTCAGCGAACAGTTGTTTGAATATAAAGACTCCCATAGTCCCTTTGGAGGACCTGCCCTACACACTCAGCATGGTTGCCACCATCACTTCCCAACATGGTATTGAGAGGGTTCAATCCAACTGCTCCTTGAGTCCTATTCAGTACCTTACTAGTGACAAGACTTCTGCTCAGGTGAATAGTAAGATAACACTACTGTCAGTCCCCTCTGTATTCATCATTGGCTTAGTTCTCATTAAACCTTCCCACATCCCTCTTACTTTTTCTGTGCACACTTAGAGAGGCACACAATGTACCTTCTCTACTCTTGGTAAAGTAGTCTTTTTCATATAGTCTTTTGTATGCTTCTGATTGTGTCTTGATGGAAGAATCCTGCAACCCTGAATTCTGACCTTATCTCAGAGCAATCAGTGGCAGTTGTGACATGGCTACTCTGCTCCTCTCCTCTTCAGGTTTCCTTGGCTGAAGGACAAAAGTTTGACGGGGATGTGGAACTCCTGATTTACTACAGTGAAGTGCACAGGCCCAGTGTAGCTGTGGAGATGGGGATGCAGAACATGAAGCCAGGTATTTCCTATCTCCCACTATGACCACTTTCTAAGGTGTAACTCTCAATCAGTTCTGATTTTCAACTTTGTATCTATGATCAGTGTATGACCATTGAAATACTGACTTTTCCCTTCCACATGGAAAAATGACAGGGCTTAAAAATAAGAGATCAGGTGACTACGTACTATAGGCTTATTTACATAGATTAGTACATAATTAGAAGGAAAGTATGACCAAATAATTCACAAGAAAACATGTGGTCCATTATCAACATGTGACAATAACTGGTCTTACAAAAAAAAAAAAAAAACGGCAAGTAAAAGTAATCCACTGATGACTTCTCCTTTCATAGGATCAGTGATGTCCGAATCTGATAAAGTCACATCCTTTACATGGTTTAGTGACTTTCACTGTCAGAAGTGTTGAAACAAATCAGTTTGTATCAACTGTTTTGAAAGTATTTGGCCTGCAAATAGTAAAATCTCATTTTGACAATTCTAATATTTATAACATTTCTTCTGAAATAAATCTAAATGTCTATGTAATATACAGATGATATTGACTGATATTATAATAGCATCTAGTATTAGTAAATGATAAAAATATGTAATGCATTCACTATTTGTGTTATCAGTTACAAGATAAGTTATGATGTCATTGTTATAATAATGTACATTAACAAACAGGAGAATTTCAATAGACAATCTCCAAATAATGGGAAAGGAAAAGTAGTTATATTTCCTAATAGCATTATAGAATAATAGTTGGATTAGGAAAACAACTGTATTATAATCTAGGCAATATGCACATAGTAGTATTTCTACATGAATAATAATTTCACTTTAAGTAAATATGTTTTATTAGTTAATTCATCACAACTTGATGTAGTCTTGCTGCTAGTAGTTACTTTTTTGTCTTATGATGAATAATGGCCAAATTTAACACAGAATTAGTTTTAGGTTTCCTATGTCCTGTAGAAATTGATCTTTGAAACAATCACAAGAATCCAGCACACATTCTCTGTTTGTAGTCCACTTGATTTTTTTCTTAGACTAAACATAGATTTCCATCGAGTTGTGTTTCTTATCTACATCTAGTGACTGTCATTTAAAACATTTACTTTATGTATACTTAACTTTTTAAAAGCTGGTACAGTGCACGTGCATGTTTTGCTTTAGTTGGCTTGTCTGGCCCATTCTGAACTTGGTTTTAGGGGTCATCACCCAACCCAAGAAGGGTGCTACAACTATAACTACAACTACAACTTCATTTCCAGGTTGGATACATGGAAGTTCCTTGCAGGCAAATCATATTTGTGGCATCTGAGCTTGGGCTTTGCTGCTGGAACTATACTGTGAGGCTTTTATCATGAATCTAGATTTCTATACCTAATCCCCACCAATATAAAATTATCAATATTTGACAAAGGTGACTTCAGACTGAGTGACATGTAGGGGCAATTTCTTCTCCCCTCACTGTCTAGCCACTCCCCTCTGAGGTCACTAAGGAGAATCCCAGCTTCCCTGGATTTCTGGTAACTCTCTCATCACCCTGTTGCTCTATGCTCTGTATGTTTTGTTGATTTCCTGAAATTCTTTTTGGGTATTATGAAATATTCAAACCCAGACTTGGTCTTCTTCAGTCAGGAATATTATTTTTATCCATGATATAGAACCTTAAGATGCTGCAACATAATATGTAATAACTGAGGTCTCAAGTTTCTCACTTTCTCTGACATTTCCTTGGGTCCATGAAAATATTTCTCATCTATTTTCTGTGATCAGATTTGCAGACTCTCAGGAAAAATAGTTGGTCATATCTCAGCCTAGATAATTCCTTTCATATTTGATTCCTAGTTCCTGCTTCCCATGGCACATATTTTGACAGATGATTTCCTTTTCAATATCCTTCAGAAGAGCAAGGGAATCCCAAGGGGCAGCTTAGCTCACTGAAATCATTTATTGTGATCATGATGCACAAAAATATATGAACTAAATGATGTGTTTACTTTAGATTGTATAATTACACAAAATTTAAAAAGAATAATGTATAAAATTATAATTAACAGCTCAGTGTGAGTTAAGCCCTACCCTGAATTTTGTAAGCATATTGGATCACCTAACCTTACAATAACCGTATAGTAGGAATTAGTATGGCGATAACATGAGAAGAGGAAGCTTTGGCTAAGAAGTAGAGGTGCACATTCATGAACAAGGAAGCTCTGATTTATTAAAGTGAAGTCACTTGAATTTGTTTGAAAGAACTAGTAGACACCTTACATGGAATGCTGAACACTACCTACAAGACTTTTTTCTGAACTGTATGGATGTCCATTACCACCAATCTCATGGGCTTGTGGCTTCTCAGAAGAGTGCTAGTGTCATGATAACCATGCACCTCCCAGCGTGGGAAGAAATATACTTCATACCTTAAAAATATAAGCTGTATATCTAAAGATTGTGATATGGTACATCTTTACAATGCTTTCACCCAGGTTTCTAAGGCAATGTTCCTCAGTAGCCTGTGCTTGGAATTTGTCATTTTAAGCATTAAATATGGGAGCATCATTTTCTCCTGATTGTCCAATTGAAGATGTAATCAGTGACCCATGTGATGACTTTCCCATTCATAAGATTTGAAGAAATTTTCCTCTCTCAGTAATCTTAGCTGTATCTTCTGCTCATGCTGGAAGCTGCTAAGCTGATGTGTTTTATTCAGTTGTTTAGATGCCTAGAATTTATACATACTGACACTGCTATGTTATTGCTTGTTATCTCCTACCCTGTTTTTCTTCCTCTCCCCTCTGCTCTGCTTCTTTCTGTTTTATGCAAACAATTCACCTTTACCCCTGTACATACAGAATCAAAAGGGCAAACACGTTTTTTTTCTTTATATATATAGTTTTTTTTCTTATTTTACATAACGATCCCAGTTCCCTCTCCCTCTTTCCCTCCCATCTGCCCCCCCCCTGCCACACTCCACAGGGAGAGTAATGCCTTCCAGGAGGGATCATCAAAGTCTGTCAAGTCATTTGGAGTAGGGACTATGCCCTCCCTCCTGCCTCTAGGCTAAGAGAGTATCCCTCCATGGGGAATGTGCTTCCAAAGACCTTTTGTGCACCAGAGGTACATCCTGGTTTCAATGTCAGAGGTTCCTTAGATGGCCCAGGCCTTCTAACTGAGACCCATATTCAGGGAGTCTGAGTCGGTTCAATGCTGGTTTCCCAGTTATCAGTCTCAGGATCCATGAGCTCCCCCTTGTTCAGGTCAGTTGTCTCTGTGGGTTTCTGTAGCCTCATAAACAAGGAGTTTTGTATTTGAGCTTCTCAGTCCTCTATTGATGTAATAATTGATTCTTGGGAATGGTAGGACACCTCAGTTTCCTGGTATCTTACAGGGTTTTTCCCCTTTCTGTACAGACAGTTTGATGGGCGCCCCTTCTGCAATGGTGAGTTTCTATCCAGATATCCCAGAAGTGGAAGCCTCAAAGGCTTGTGGAGAATTTGTGTTCCTCATGGACCGCTCTGGGAGTATGGATTCCCCCATGAACAACCAGAAGGATTCTCAGCTACGCATAGAAGCTGCCAAGGTAAAGACAGATTCTTCAGTGCTGAGAAGTGCTAAGTGAGTATAATTGGGAAAGACATAGATATGGCCCATTTATAGTTGTAGATCTGTTCTCCATCTGAACAACAAAAAGCATGATCTCTCTGATCTCAGTCTTGAAATACAAGGTGGCATAAGATGGTGTCTTTCCTTACCCTTAGTAACTAGACTGAGATCTCTATGTTTGCTAACATCCTCTTTCATTCTGTCTCATGATTGTTTCACCTCAGGAAACTCTGTTGTTGTTGCTGAAGAGTTTGCCTATGGGTTGTTATTTCAACATCTATGGATTTGGAACTTCCTATGAAAAATTCTTTTCGTAAGTTTTTGGGAAGATCACAGACTGTGAGAGAATGCACTTTAAAGTAGGGCTTCACTGGTAAAATGGCTATTGCAGAGTTGACATGAACATTGGGGCTTTTGGGAAATTTTTTTTGTGATAGGATTAACAGAGTAGCAATGTGTGCTACTGTCATGTGACTAAATGTGCTTACTTCTCCAAGGGAGAGTGTGAAATACACTCAGGAAACAATGGAGGAGGCAATGGAAAAAGTGAAGGTTCTGGAAGCAGACCTAGGGGGCACTGAAATCTTGAAACCACTCCGGCAGATTTACAAGGCACACTCCATTCCTTGCCATCCTTTGCAAGTGAGCATTCAAACCAAGTTAAGAGGGATAAAGAGTGAAATTCTCTAATAACCCCATGCCTGGTTCTTCCTTTTAGAATTGGGTTAACAATGGGTAACAAGTTATCTATCACACAGTGAAGAGAAAAAAGTTCAGAGTCAGTGTTCTTCCTCTATTCCATGGGTTAGGCAGTCAGCCCTCTTTTGTGGTACTACAGAATTTTCAGAGGAAAGCAACATGGGGAAGGTGAGAAACTTCCCAGGGTCTTTGTGCCACCACGAAGCAAGTGAGAGTGAAGCACTGGGGTCCTCACCCATGTGATAACCTAGGAACAGTTGTAGTCCATGAGGACCACTGCTGTTGTCTTTGAATGAACTCAACAGAGGCTTGATGAATACATTCTTTCCTTTCCAGCTCTTTGTCTTCACAGATGGAGAAGTTAGTGACACATTTACAGTCATTAATGAAGTTCAGTTAAACAGCAAGAAACACAGGTATGAGGAAGTATGGGGTCGAGGAAGTACAATAGAAATCATATTTATTTTTCCTTCCTTCTTTCCTTCCTTCCTTCCTTCCTTCCTTCCCTTCCCGTCCTCTTTCTTTCTTTCTTTCTTTCTTTCTTTCTTTCTTTCTTTCTTTCTTTCTTTCTTTCTTTCTTTCTGAGACAGGATTTACCTGTGATTTTAGGGTCTGTCCTGGAACTAGCTCTTGTAGACCAGGATGGTCTCAGACTCAAAGAGATACACCTGCCTCTGCCTCCTCAGTGCTGTGCTTAAAGGTGTGTGCCACCACCACCTGGCAAGACCATTCTTTAAGTAGATGGTGTTGTTGAATATCTGTGAAATGGCAGTTTCACAAGCTGTGTTAACTTAACTCAGATAAACTTTACAAATAGTTTCCAGTTGCTTCATTTTCTAACCAATTAACCATGTTTTGCAAATTTTGTGCATGGGACCATTAGTGTCTCATGTTTTAAATTTTTTTTCCTTGTATCTCTACTTGATACACCTTTTATTATTTATTATTTATTTTTTGTAGTCCAAGTCTCTTTACCAACGAAATTGTATTTTTACTGATATGTATTTGATTTTATGTTTTGAATATGAATATATTGAAGACTGTTTTCTTTTTTAATTTTTCTTATTTTACACATGGATCCCAATTCACACTTTCTCCCTCCCCCTTTCCCACCCTCCCATGCCCCCCACAACACTTCCATCCCATTTCACCCCCAATCCACAGGTAGGGTGATGCCTTCCAGGAGGGGTCATCTAAATCTGTTAAGTCATTTGGAGTAGGGACTAGGCCCTCCCTCCTGCCTCTAGGCTAAAGGAATATGCCTCTATTGGGAATGTGCTCCCAAAGTATTTTGTGCATGAGGGATACATCCTGGTTCCACTGTCAGAATCCCTTAGTCTGCCTACGCCATCTAAATAAGATCCATGTCCAGGGGGTCTGAGTAGGTACAATGCGGGTTTCTCCCTTGACTCAATCTTCCTAGTCCTACATGATTCTTTCTCCTCCCCTTCATTTTCTCTCTCCACTCATTGCCCCCTCTCCCAATATGCTAAGGAGATCTTGTTCCTTTCCCCTTCTGTGAGGGACCTTGTATGAATCTCTTAGATTCCTCCTTGTATCCTAGTTTCTCTGGCAGTGTGAATTATAGGCTCTATGTCTAAAATCCATATATGAGTGAGTACATACCATGTTCCTCTTTTTGTGACTTGGTTACCTCATTTAGGATGGTTTCTTCAGGTTTCATCTATTTGCCTGCAAATTTCAAGACTCATTGTTTTTTCCTGCAGAGTAGTATTCCATTGTGAAAATGTGCCACACCTTCTTTATCCATTCTTCAATTGAGGGGCATCTAGGTTGCTTCCAGGTTCTCTCTATTACAAATAATGCTGCTATGAACATAGTTGAACAGATGTCTTTGTTACATGATGTGGATCATTTTGCTATATGCCTAAGAGTGGGATTGCCGGGTCCTATGGTCGACTGATTTACATTTTCCTGAGTATCCGCCATACAGATCTCCAAAATGGTTGTACAAGTTTGCACTCCCACCAGCAGTGGAGGAGTGTTCTCCTTTCTCCACATCCTCTCCAGCATGAGTTGTCATTGGTGTTTCTAATTTTAGCCATTCTGGCAGTAGTAAGAAGGTATCTCAAAGTTGTTTTGATTTGCATTTCCCTGATAGCTAAGGATGTTGAGCACTTTCTTAAGTGTGTTACAACCTTTTTGATTTCCTCTATTGAGGATTCTTTCCTCAGTTATGTACCCCATTTTTTAAATAGGATTATTCACTGTATTGGTGACTAGTTTCTAGCGTTCTTCGTATATTTTGGAGATCAGCCCTCTATCAGATGTAGGGTTGGTGAAGATATTTTGCTAGTCCGTGGACTGCCCTTTAGTCCTGTCAAATGTATCCATTGCCTAACAGAAGCTTCTCAGTTTGAGGACTCCCATTTATTAGTTGTTGATCTCAGTGTCTGTGCTACTGGAGTTTTGTTCAGAAAGTTGTCTCCTGTAAGAAATTATTCAAGGGTACCTTTCACTTTCTCTTCTAAGAGGTTCAGTGTGTCTGGATTTATGTTGATGTCTTTGCTCCATTTGGACTTGAGTTTTGTGCATGGTGATAGACATACATTTATCTGCTAGCACTATTTGTTGAAAGTGCTTCCTCCTCCCTTTGTATACTTTTAGCTGTTTTGACAAAAATCGGGTGTTTTTACGTGGGTTAATATCAGGATTTTTGATTCGATTCCATTGGTCTATATATCTAGTTTTGTACCAATACCAAGCTGTTTTCAGCTCTTTAGTAGAGTTTAAAGTCGGGGATGTTGATGCCTCCTGCAGTTCCTTTATTGTACTGGGTTGTTTTGGCTATCCTGCATCTTTATAAAGTTGATTATTATCCTTTCAAGGTTAGTGAAGAATTGTGCTGGGATTTTGGTGGGGATTGCATTGAATCTGTACATTGTTTTTGGTAAGATTGCAATTTTTACTATGTTTATACTATGTGCCCAAGAGCATGAGAGATCTTTCCATTTCATGGCATCTTCTTTAATTTCTTTCTTTAAAGACACAAAGTTCTTGCTATATAGTGGTTTCACTTGTTTGTTAACAAGTCGTCACCCTAAGATTCTGCATGTTGTTTGTGGCTTATTGTAAAGGGTGATGTTTCTCTGATTCCTTTCTTTGTCTCTTTGACATCTGAATAAAGTAGGGCTACTGATTTTTTGAATTTATCTTGTATCCTTCTAGATTGCTGAAGGTGTTTATCAGCTCTAGGGGTTCCCTGATAGAATTTTTTAGGTAACTTATATAAACTATCATACCATCTGCAACTAGCAACAATTTGACTTCTTCCTTTCCAATTTGTATCCCCTTAATCTTCTTTTGTTGCCTTATTGCTTTAGATAACACTTCAAGCACAATATTGAAGATATATGGAGTGAGAGGGCAGCCTTGTCTTATTCCTGATTTTAGGGGAATTGCCTTAAGCTTCTCTCCATTCAATTTGATATTGGCTGTTGGTTGACAGTATATTTCTTTTATTATATTTAGGTATGTTCCAGTTATCACTTACCTCTGCAAGACCTTTATCATGAAAAGATGTTAAATTTTGTTAAAGGCTTTTTCAGCATCTAGTGAGATGATCATGTGGTTTTTCTTTTTCATTTTGTTTAAATGGTGGATCACATTGATAGATTTTCATATGTTGAACCATATCTGCATCCCAGGGATGAAGCCTAGTTGGTTATGGTGGATGATTTCTCTGATGTGTTCTTGCATTTGGTTTGCCAGTATTTTATTGAGTATTTTTGCATGAATGTTCATGAGGGATATTGGTAAGTTGGGTATGATGGTAATTGTGGCCTCATAAAAAAAGTTTGTTAATAAACTCTATTGTGTGGAAGACTTTGAGTATTATTAGTATTAGCTCTTCTTTTAATTTCTGGCAGAATTTTACACTGAAGTCATTTTGGGTCTGGGCTATTTTTGGTTGGGAGGCTTTTGATACTGCCACTTTTTCATTAGGGGATATAGGTCTATTTAAGTGCATATCTGTTCTTGATATAATTTTGGTAAGTGATAGTTATCCAGAAATTTGTCCATTTCATTTTAATTTTCAAATTTTGTCGAGTACAGGTTTTCAAAGTATGGCCTGAAAATTATGTGGATTTCTTTAGTGTCAATGGTTAAGTCCTCCTTTCTGTTTCTGATTTTGTTAATTTGCATGTTCTCTCTCTGCTTTTTCATTAATTTGGATAAAAGTTTGTCTATCTTGTTGATTTTCTTAAAGAACCAACTCTTTGTTGCATTGATTTTTTTGTATTGTTTTCCTGGTTTCTACTTTATTGATTTCAGCTCTCAAATTGATTATTTCCTGGCTTCTACTCTGGGGTGAGTTTGCTTCTTTTTTGTTCATAGGCTTTCAGTCTCTAATGTGACTCTCCTGTGTTTTCTTATTATGGGCACTTAGTGCAATGAACTTCCCTCGTAGCACTGCTCTCAAGGTGTTCCATAAGTTTGGGTATGTTGTGTCCTCATTCTCTTTAATTCTAGGAAGGCTTTAATTTCTTTCTTTATTTCTTCTTTGACCCAGGTATGGTGCAATTGCATGAGTTTCCATGAGTTTGTAGAGTTTCTTCAATTTGTGTTGTTGTTGAATTCCAACATTAAAGCATGGTGGTCTGATAAGATACAGGGGACTATTCCAATTATTTTTTGTATCTGTTGAGGTTTGTTATGTGGCTTAGTATGTGGTTGATTTAGAGAAGGTTCCATGTGGAGCAGAGAAGAAGATATATTCTTTTGTATTTGGATGGAATAGTTTATAGATGTCGGTTAAATTCAATTGAAACATAACTTCACTTAGTTCTTTTGTTTCTTTGGTGGGTTTCTGACTGGTGTCCTGTCTAGTGATGAGAGTGTGGTGTTAAAGTCTCCCTCTATGAGTGTGTGAGGTTTAATGTGAGCTTTGAGTTTTAGTAGCGTTTCTTTTACGAATGTGTGTGACTTTGTATTTGGGGCATAGATGTTCAGAACTGAGACTGTGTTGATGGATTTCTACTATGACGAATATTACATGGCTGTCCTCATCTCTTTTTATTGGTTTTGGTTTGAAGTCTAATTTGTTAGATATTAGGATACCCACACCTGCTTGCTTCTAGAGTCCATTTGATTGGAACCCTTTACCTTGAGATAATGTGTGCTTTGAAGCTTAGATGTGTTTCTTGTATACAGCAGAAAGATGGATTCTGTCTTTGTATCCATTCTGTTAGCCTGTGTCTTTTTATAGGCGAGTTAAGACCACCAGTGTTGAGGGAAAATAAGGATCATTGTTTCTTAATGCTTGTTAGTTTTAGATTTTTTTGACAGTGGTATTGTGGATATAGTTGCCCTACTTTACCCTTCTGTTCTAGTGAAGTGGGATTATCTATTGCCTATGTCTTTGTGAGCATAGTTAACTTCCTTGGGTTGGAGTTTTTCTTCCAGAACTTTTGTTGGGCTGGATTTGTAGATATGTATTTTGAACATCTGTCTTTGACATTAAATATCTTGTTTTCTCTGTCTATAATGATTGAGAGTTTTGCTGGGTATAGAGGCCTGGGCTGGCATCCCTGACCTTCAGTACTTGTAGAACATCAATCCAGGACATTATTGTCTTGAGAGTGTTCATGGAAAATCAGGTGTAATTTTGATAGGTTTTTCTTTCTATGTTACCTGGCTTTTTTCCTTCACTACTCTTAATATTCTTTCTTCATTCTGTATGTTAGTTGTTTTGATTATTTTGTGTCGAGGGGTCTTTTCTCTTTTATCCAGTCTGTTTGCTGCTTGTACTTCATGGGCATGTCCTTCTTCAGAATGGGAAAGTATTCTTCAATTATTTTATTGAATATGTTTTCTGTACCTTTGAGCTGGGCTTCTTCGCCTTCTTCTATGCTCATTATTCTTAGGATTGGCCTTTTCACAGTGTCCCACATTTCATGGACGTTTTGTGTTAAGGATTTGTTGGATTTAAGATTTTCTTTGGTCAATGAATCTATTTCCTCTAGTTTATCTTCTGTGCCTGAGATTCTGTCTTTGATCTCTTATGTTCTGTTGGTTAGTTCCTGATTGATTGCCCAGTTTTTCTATTTCCAGCATTCCCTCAGTTTGTGTTTTCTTTATTGTCTCTGTTTCAGTTTTCAGATCTTGAACTGTTTGAGTTGTTTCCTTTAACTGTTTGATAGTTTTTTCTTGGCTTTCCTTACTCTCTTTAAGAGATTTGTTCATGTCATTCATTTTTGCTTGTTCTTTTCCTCTATTTCTTCCAATTTTTGTTTGTTTTTTCTTCCCTTTCTTTAAGTGACTTTCTCATATCATCTTTGAGGGCCTGTATCATTTTTATGAAGATTTTTTTAAGGTGTTCTTTTCTGCTTCATTGCTTTGGTGTGTTCAGGTCTAGTTGGTACAAATTTCCTAGATTATGGTGATGTTTTCATTGCAGTCTTCCCATTGCATTTTTCAGTTGACATAGGTGGGTTTGGAATTGTCTGTAGCTCTTGGTGGTCCAAGTTCTTTAGGAGGTCTCTCCTCTATCAGGGGTCTCTCAAGCAGAGGCCCTGGCACTGGAGGTCAAATATCAGGTAGGCGGGAGTCAGGGTGGTTCTGTAGGGATAGACGTGTCCCCAGTAGAGGCCTGGCTCTCTGACAGAGGATGACTTTTTCTTACTCTGTGGTTTATATCTTCCCTTTCAAAATTGTTACCTTTGCTTTACTTTTTATGATAGGTTTCCCTATTCAGTCCTTACTGGTCTGCAACTACTTTACTAGATCAGGCTGGCCTCTATGGATGTAGGTTTGCCTTCTTCTGCCTCTAGAGTAGTGGAATTGTAGTCATGTGTTTTGAGTAACTGTCACTTCAACTTCTATTCTCTGAAGTTTCATTTTGTTAGTGCCTTGTTAAAGTATTTACTATTCCAGCTATGTAGGTAGTTTACATTTTCTTTTCAAGGGATTTTGCTCTCTGTATATACTGGTTCTTTGACAAATTCTCATATTATAAAATACATTCTGCTTACTATCTCCTCTCATCCTTTTCTAGCTCCCTCCCATCTCTTTCAGTCTTCCTTTCTCTATTCCTTTTACAAGTTTCTCACTTTTTGCTTTATATTGAGACATAGTTTGTGCAATCAGGGCCATCTCAATGATTACTGGACTGGGGCTACCCATTGGATCCTGGTATGCTTCCAATGGGTATACAACTGAACGCCACAATTCCCATTTTCTCTGAATCTATCAATAGGTTTTTATTCCTCTAATAGTCATGGAACTATTGTATCTGAGAGTATATTATGCCTGAAAGATGCTATTATACTTTGTGTGGCTCATAGCTGGTTAAGGTCATAAATGTCTTTTCTCTCTAAGTAGACTTTACAGCATCTCTTGATTTCTCTATGTCATATAACCAAGATTTGTGGTGGCTTCAGCTTTAGGGTCTTAACATCTTTTGTTGGTAGGCAACTATGAGCAATAATAAGGCACTATGTTGTTTCCTGAGCCTCCTTGACCAACACATCATAATTAGTTATCCCTTTCCTGTCACTGATTTTGGTTTAGTAACTCATAGTGTTGGTAAATTGAGTCACTTTGGATCATGGTAATGGAGCCACTTCAGGATGTAATTAGGCTACAAGGCAGCAGGGAGGAACAGTCTCTGATGGTCTAAACCCACAAACAACTGTGCAGAGAATGAAACAAGTTCATCATACCAAACTCAGATCTAATCTACATGTTTCTTAAAAGAATAACTCGTTCTTGCAATTTTAGTCTGTTTTGTGCACTGTTTGCATTACTCAATGAAACAAGACTTCCAGGTTTGCCAGAAATGTCTTGTGATTAAAGTCATTCAAATGGTGCAATGCTCCTCCAGAAAAACAACTCTATAAGTAACAGGAGACAATCGTTGTTTTTCTAAAATGACTTCTTCAAGGTTTAAGTACTTTCAGAAAACAACGTTTCATTCCATTATTTTCCTTCAACTATACAGTATGTGTGTCTTAAAGGTTGAAACATTAAGTAGCTAAATACATCAGAAAGTAATGCAAGAATATTGAAATACACATTGATAAAGCATAAAGAAGGAGAGGAGAGAAGAAAAGGCCAGGAAATGATTTCTCATGTGTTTTTAGGGGTACCTACCACTAACAAAGCTCAAAACTCTACAATTTTCCTTATTACTCTGAAACTTCTTGGGTGGGCAGCCATCCACACATGACACATGCTTCAAATGGTACATGAACAGCATATGGAGGCTTATTTCTTTTCTCTCCATTTCTAGGTCTTGGCTCCTAGATTCATATTCTCCCAGAAGTCATTGAAGCCTGTCTTCTTGGTGGTTGTGATTTTACACAAATTGTTAATGTTTATAAGTCTCTAGATCTCTCTGACTTGAATAACATGGTCTAGTATTCCTGCAAATAGAACCCATGGTGTTTTGTCTTGATCCTTGTCTTTGAGTTCTTTAGTATCAGAATCTCATAAGAAGGCACAAATTTCACCTTTAGGTCTTCTGCATGACAAATCTGGAAACCCCATTTATAATAATAATAATAATAATAATACAATACAAACTTTGGTCCTCATGCCTTCATATGGAAAACACAAATTCTATGACCTGATGATGTAGGATTTGAGGCTGATGGATACTAATGTATAAAGCAAAGATGACAGTTTTATATTTTAATAGTTTACAAGGATTTCAGAAATAAAATGCTGCTAGATAGCTATTGCTCCTCTGCACTATAGTTGGGGAAAGAATTTAAACAATTTTCAAATTCCCTAGGTTCAAATCTTCATCAGCAAATGAAACAGAGCTTTTCTTCATAGAAGACCCATGGCATTAAATTGTATTACTTACTTAAGCATTTATTATCTCCAACATAGACAAAGTGTGATTCCTAAGTGATAGCATTGTCAAAAAAAAAAAAAAGAAAAAAAAGCAAACTCATTTGTTATTTTTTGAGCAGCCCACGTGAACTAAGAATTCTACTATGGAGAACCCATCTCTAATATTCATCATTTCATTGTTGCAGATGTTTCGCATTTGGAATTGGAGAAGGAGCCTCCACCAGTTTAATCAAAGGCATTGCCCGGGTTTCAGGGGGTACTGCAGAGTTTATCACAGGCAAGGACAGGATCCAGACCAAGGTGAGAGCTGGCCAAGGGACCAGAGTTGCAAGTACAGAGTGACTATGAGGCACAACAGGAATCCTTCTGCAAAGTACACACTTTCATGAGCCTCAGACTATACACTTAGTGAGTCTACTTCCTACCTTGTTAAAAATAGTTCCAATCTAATCTAGAAAAAAGATAGTTAAGGAGATAGTGACTTTTGTTTTGAAGACCTGAGAGAAAGAATTTTAATACTTTGGTTGCTCTGTCTGAGACTGTAGTCTGCATTGTCAATAGATCTGGTAGAAATCTATTCTCCATGTAAAAAGAAAATGTGTGTGTGTGTGTGTGTGTGTGTGTGTGTGTGTGTGTGTGTGTGTGTGTTAGACTCAAAGGTATGGTAAGTTCACCTTCTTTTAGTATGCAAAAATGCAAGACATTTTAGATTATATTTTTAAATGACTATCCATGTTGTTACTATTTCTTTTCTAACTCACTTCTGCAGAGGCCTTTTTTATTTATTATTTCCCTTATTCAAATCTACACTTTTGTGTCCCTCAAGTGTAACTTTACACACAAGGTGAGAAAGAATTTAATTTCCCACTTAGCAATAGTAGTTATACCTGACATGCATTACATCCTTTGTCCTGGTAAAAGCTGAATGAATGTCTGTCATTATTATATTTCTTATGTATAATTCTGGCTCTTCTCTCTTCCAACAGGCTCTTGGGTCTCTGAAGTTTGCTCTAAACTGTTCGGTGGATGACTTCTCTCTGAGCTGGGATTTGCCTCCTGGTCTGTCAGCTAGCATGCTTTCTCCAGAGCAGACTGTCATCTTTAGGAGTCAGAGATTAATCATCTATGCCCAACTCACTGGAACTATGCCTGTAAGTACCTATTATTGTTCATTTCTTTACTTGGTGAGACACTGTACCAGCAGTGTTATAACTGCTTTCTTTGAGATTTCAGCAAGATATGTCACTTTCCAGGCAGCCAGCCTCCTATCCTTTCCTTCATGTCAGCCTCGCTGATTCTTAGCATGATGATTCACTATGTTGAGGATCTTCCCCAGTGCTCACTGTTCTCATGGTTGTGAGTCTGTTTTGTCACTCCTATTCTCCTCTTATTTGTAGCAAGTGGAGACCTCTGGAGAAGTGTGCCTTAAATATACACTCCAAGGCATGAGTCTTGAAAACAGGGTGACATTTTCCCTGCAACCCAAGACCGATACCAGGTAAGAACTCAGCTTTGCTACTCCATTTCCACTCTTCCCCACTTTTCCCTTCCATTCTTCTCCTTTATGTCTTTTTTCTCTGTCATAGGCTGGCTCTGTCATTCCTGTTACTCATCTCAACTATTTCCTCTAAGTTTTTCTCTTTCTAATCCCCTCATCTGAAGTCTTTTTCTCTGAATTCTCTTCTATCTGTAATCACTAAAAATTAAGTCTTGGGTACCTGCTTTGCAGTTACTTTTATTTAAATTTTTGCAGTATTTTTCTTTCAGCTTCACCATTCATCGGTTGGCTGCAAAGACCTTGATTCAGACCAAGGACTTGGGCTCCCATGAGACTTCAAAAAGAGCAAAAGATGATGTGTTGGACATCAGCATTCAGTCTGGAGTCCTCAGCTCCTTCACAGCTTACATTGCAGTAAACAAGGAGCTCAACCAGCCAGTGCAGGGGCCATTGACTCGTAGGGAGATTCCAAGGCCAGTTACCTCTACATCACCATGTGCATATAAAGTTAAAACTTGTAAGTGTTATCCCAATTCAAACTTATGTATAATGAGTCTCAGTTATCCAAGCACACCATGTAAACAATGAGAACTTTCAGAATTTTGTAAATTTAAATTTGTAATTTTTCTCTTTTTTCTACACCTGGGATTTGTGGCTTGCCTTAAATTTTCTAGAGAAGTAGATTGTGTCCACCTGGGACAGAGATTTATTATACAAGTAACAGTAAAACACCAGGACATATTACAATGCAGAAGTATCCATAAACACTGAATAATGAAATCATTTAATTTGAATCTGACTTCTATTCTTGATGGTTATTCAATGGCCACAAATAGCCACATGGAAGCAAATGATTAGATGACATCTGATAATGTTAGTGGCAGAAAAGTCTATTTAAGAAAATGGTGGATCTCTGAAAAAGTCATAGAGGATTATTGGGAAATCAAAATAAAAATCACATCATTTTTGTGGGATGGTTGAGGGTTCAGTTGCACTTGGTGCATTTTTTCAGTAGTCACACATACTAATTATAATCTTGTGTTTGTGAATCATTTGTGTCATGCATGGGTCAGGAACTTCACCTTAAGAATGAAGTGGCTGGAGTGCTGAATTGATTTCTAGTGTGATATTTTGTCATCTTGATGATTAGAAATTATGGCTATGGAGTTGAAGGTAGTGATAAGGGTGATAATTAGTTTGATTGGAATTTAGGTTGAATGAAAAAGAAATGATTAGAGAAAGGTGTCATACAGAATAAAGTAGGAGATTTGTAGACTTAGAAGGTACAAGTCACGTCAAAGGCCATTTATTTAAAAAAACATGAAACCCTAAGTTAAAACACTAGAAATATGGGCATTATATTTTAAACATAAGACATTTGTGCAAAATCAAACAATGTTTTATGATACTAATGACTTGAGAGCATGGGAGAGATGTGTTAGAGTCATAGTCATTGGATCTGAGGAAGACAAGACCTTTGCATTAAGATGTTGTAAGGTCTACTTACATGGATGGTGAAAATTCTCAAACTTGTCAAAGAACTTGGAGTTCATTGGGAGCCTGTGTTGAGGTTTTTGGGTACTTTGGGTACTGGTAGGAGGTGACTTAAGTAGTTGATGGTTGAGAGTAGTGAAGACATATGGAAGACAACTCAGGTGAGAGAAAAGGGAATATTCTTGGGCTTAGACAATTGCCAACCTAACTTTCTGAACATGGATGCTTAGGGTGTAGTTGAGCTTCTTTTGAAAGGGACAGATGTAAAATAGCTTTGTGAGACAGAAAAAGTTCTTTTCAGTTAAGGAGTATCTGGAAGAATCTTCAGTATTGAAGATGAGAGGCAGCTGTGATTGCCCAGCAGATGTCAGGGATTCTAGAAGACTGAACAGGAAGTAGAAAAAGGGTTCAGAGGGTGAGTGTCTGTATTGGAGAAGGCCACACTGAAGAATGGCACATTGTGGTTAGAGAGGGATGCTGATATGGATGGGAGAGTTGATGCCTTCCATTCTCACAACTTTTAATATTTGTTTGTTGTAGTTTGTGAAGGATGCTGCAGTCTCCACTGTACATTTATGTTTTGCAGGTTGCAAGCCAGGCTTACCCTCAAAAGAGTTACCATGTCTATATGCACTGAATGGTGAGCATCCCTGGAGGTCATATTCCACAGTCTAGGACAGTTTCCTTCTGGTAAAAGTTCTCTCAACAATGTTTTTTTTAATCACAGATACTGAATTTTATGAATTCCAATCTTCAAGACCTAGTAGGGGAAATATAGCATCCACCAGAAAGATGAAAATGTCACATTCTTCCACCAAGAAACCCAACTTGCAAAATGACCACAAAGGTGAAATGGACCTCAGAATGTGTGCCTGATGCATGGTAGCCATAAACTAACCTTCTCTGCTCTTCATCTTAGACCTTTCTCTACCTTTGAGGTGACTTACTTGAGGCAACAGACAGGAGGTGAGATTTGACATCGCTGTGTATTTGCCGGAATAAGTCTAGCTTCACTAATCTATGATATGGCACTTGATACCTTCTAATTGAGTAGCCTGTAGTTCCTTGAGTTCCCTTGGCAATATCTGTCTACATAGTCCACCTATCATTAGGGCTTGCCTCCAACAGACTCTGTTCCTGTTGTGTTCAGAACCCAGAGCAACTAGCCACCCATCACAGATTAGAAATGGTCAGTGGATGTCCTGCAGAACCTCCTATTCCAGGAAACTGCCTCGGGTGGGCTATGATCCCAGGTTCTCCATAATTCCCTGTGCCATCTCTCATGTTTCCCACAAAGGTTTTGGAGAGAATTACTTTGTGCAGCTTGTTTCTCTCCAAAAGGCAAATGGCTCCTGGGAGCTGCATGAGAATCTGGCCAAGATCCTGGGCATTAATTTGGAAGACATCATGGCTGCAAACCCTGCCAAGGTGAGATGCAAAGTAGATAAAAAAGAGTGTACATCCTGATGATAGGAATATAATTAGAGTCTAAATGAACCAAGACAGAGCTAAGAAATAAGAATATAGGTGATGCAAAGGTGAAATTAGGTTGTAATATATAGACGATGAAATTATTTCTACTTCAAAGGGACCCTAAAGAACATGGAATTAATGGTCTAGCTGCAGGAATGCGTGGTCAGTCATGGATGTCAAAGGGAAAGTAAATGCTCTTCTGTGTTAGACATATTCCCAAAGACTTAGTTATCAAAATAAACATTTTTATCTTCACATTGTACCAGATTATTAATCACTTAATATTAATATACTTATCTCCCCTCATTTCAGTTAATTAAGGCAAGTTCTATTTATATATCTATATTGAGATGAAGAAATAGAACATTAAGAAACTGAACTCTCTCTTTGCAAAATTAGATTCAGTACAAGGATCCTCTGTCTTTGGAGACTGCAAAGTCAGTCCCATTATTCTTATATATGTCTTCTCAAATAGGCTGGCTAGAGTATACCTTCTTCAGAATTTTAAGATAACCTTCTAGATCTTCTAATACTATTTGAAATAAAAATATCTTCAACAAAAGACAGATACCAAACAATGAAGAAAAATACAGTTCTGAGTTATTAAAATGTGAAACAAAATTAAGTGAACTTCACATATCTATAGTTATATCGTCTATAGTTATATTGCTTGTACCCTCTTCTAGTCATTCCTGGCTATTGAGCCTATGAAATGTGGTTAGTGCAATGAAATATAATTTTCAATAAGTAGCTTTATCTATGCTGTAAAATACAAACTGACTTAAATATTTAGAATAAAATTATTCCCATTGCTTGTCAAATGATGAATCTGTTTTAATATTAAAAAAAGACCTGCTACTAGTTAGAGAAGTAGATCACCAAGAGAACCCAACTCTAGCATACAGCAGGCCATGAACTCAATTTAGTGCAAATATACAGTAAAGAGAATACATGTCACTTGTTATCTGAAGTTCAATTGAAAATTTGAAACTTTTAAAATGATTTGTATTTTTATTATTACTATTTTAATTTTGACCACAGTTTCTCCTCCCTACTCCCAACCCAATCCCTTTCCCCATCTTCCCTCTGACCTCTTCATACATTCCTCCTCAGTTTCTAGTCAAAGAATGGCAGGCCTCCCATGGATATCAACCAAATATGGCATATCAAGTAGCAATAAGACCTATGTACTTCCCCTCATATTAAGTTTGATCAAGTCAACTCAGTATGGGAAATGGGGTTCTAAAATCTGGCAAAGAGTCTGAGACATTCCCTTCTCCCACTGTTAGTAGTGTCACAAAAAACAGAGCTACACAATTGTCATATATATGTAGAAGGCATAGATCAGTCCCATACAGGCTCTTTGGTTGTTGGTTCAGTCTCTGTGAGCTCTTATGATGCCAGGTTAGTTGTTTCTATGAGTTTGAACCCCTTGGCTCCTAAAATCCCCCATTCCCCTCTTCAGCAGGATTCCTTAAGCTCTGCCTAATGCTTGGCTGTAGTTTCCATCTCTGCACCTGTTTCCATCAGTTGCTGGATGAAGTATCTCTGATGACAATTAGGCTAGGTACATAGCAAAATATCTTTACTTTGACATTTTGCCAGTCATGTTTGGTTCTATCCTAGGTCTCTGGGTTATGCTGAATCTGGGTCCGGGCACTCCAGGCAGTGTCATGGATGGGCTCACTTGTGTAGTATAGTTCTCAGACTAGACCAGTCATTAGTTGGCCACTCCCACAATTTCTATGCCACCTTTTCCCTAGCATATCTTGTAGGTAGGACAAATTGTAGATTGAAGGTTACATGACTGGGTTTATGTCCCAATCCCTCCACTGGAAGTCTTGACAGTTCAGGCTACATATTCTCTATTGCTAGTAGCCTTAGTTATAATTACCCTTTAGATTCCTGGATGTTTCCCTTGTATCAACTTTTGACATGATCCCAATTGTCTCCTTCCAGTAATCTCTTCTAGTACTCTCTCCTTCCATCCCCAACCTGATCCTTACTGTTCCCATCCCCACCTGCCCCAATCCAGCCATAAAGTTTATTCTATTTCCTCTTCCTGTGGAGATCCAACTGTCTTCTCTTGAACACTCCTTGTTACTTAGCTTCTCGGTCTGTGGTTTATAGCATAGTTATCTTTTACTTTATAGCTAATAGCCATTTAAGAGTTAGTACATATCATGTCTGTCTTTCTGTGTCTGGGTTACCTAACTCAGAATGTTTTTTGTTTGTTTGTTTTGTTTTGTTTTGTTTTGTTTCTAGTTTAATCCATTTGCTTGCAAATTTCTTGATGTCATTGTAAATGCATCCATTCTTTGGTTGAGGGACATTTAGCTTGTTTCCAGTTTGTTTTTTTTTTTTTTTTTTTTTTTTTTTGCTATTATGAATAAAGCTGCTATGAACATAGACCTTGTGCTATGTAGCATCCTTTGGGTATAGCTGGGTCTTGATGTGGATTGATTTCCTATTTTCTGAAAAACCGTCATATTGACTTCCAAAGTGGCTGTACAAGTTTTCAACCCAACCAACAATGGTGGGGTATTCCCCCTGCTCTACATCCTCTTTAGCATGAGTGTGTTTTTTATTTCAGCCAATATGACAGGTGTAAGATGGAATATCAGAGTTGTTTTAATTTGCATTTCCCTGGTGGCTAAGAGTGTTGAGCATTTCTTTTAAGAGTTTATGGGCCCCCAGACTGATAGATGGGAATCCAGCATTGGACAGACTCAGACCCCCTAAACATGGGTCTCAATTAGAAGGCCTGGGCAGTCTAAGGGACCTCTGACAGTGGAACCAGGATGTATCCCTGGTGCACAAAAGGCCTTTGGGAGTCCCCCTGGAGGGATACTCCCTTAACCTAGAGGCAGGAGGGAGGGCCTATTTTCTACTCCAAATGACTTGACAGATTTAGATGATTCCTCCAGGAAGGCATCACCCTACATGTGGAGGGAGGGATGGAATGGGATGGGAGGGTAGTCGGGGGGCATGGGAGGGTGGAAGGGGGGAGGGACAGAGAGGGAACTGGGATCAATATATAAAATAAAAAAATTAAAAAAAGTTTCTCAGGACTTCCGGTCCCGCCGCCGGGAGCCGGTGCGGCCGTGAGGGCAATCGCGTCTTGCTGCCGCCGCTGGTCGGGCATGGTGTTGGGTGCCGGCCCGCCTCGCCTGACTCGCGGTGCTCAGAAGAAAGGTGGCAGTAATGCTAACACTGGCTAGCAAGCTGAAGCGGGATGATGGTCTCAAAGGATCCCGGACATCAGCCTCCACATCTGACTCCACTCGGAGGGTTTCTGTGAGAGACAAGTTGCTTGTTAAAGAGGTTGCAGAACTTGAAGCTAATTTACCCTGTACGTGTAAAGTACATTTTCCTGATCCAAACAAGCTTCATTGCTTTCAGCTGACTGTAAGCCCAGATGAGGGTTACTACCAGGGTGGAAAATTTCAGTTTGAAACTGAAGTTCCTGATGCCTACAACATGGTGCCTCCCAAGGTGAAATGCTTGACTAAAATCTGGCACCCCAACATCACAGAAACAGGGGAAATATGTCTAAGTTTACTAAGAGAACATTCGATTGATGGCACTGGCTGGGCTCCCACTAGGACATTGAAGGATGTTGTTTGGGGGTTAAACTCATTATTTACTGATCTTTTGAATTTTGATGATCCACTGAATATTGAAGCTGCTGAACATCATTTACGAGACAAGGAGGATTTCCGGGACAAAGTGGATGAATACATCAAACGCTATGCCAGATGATAAGAGGAGAGATTGCAGGTCTGAGGACTGTCATAGTTGTCTCTGATGTGAAACAGCTCGAGGTAGCCCTCCTCCCCATCCTCATACTCCCTGTCAGCCCCTTGGGATTGTCCCAGTCTTGCGACCATGTTGTCCTGAAGAAGACCATCCTCCTGACTACACAATACAGCAAGAAAATATGTCTGGACCTCGAGAGCATTGTCTGCTTCCCTTAAAATGTTTACTGAAACTCCACTGTCTAGGCTGTGGGATTCCTCCGAAGTTTTAATGAACTCACCATTGAGGATAGCGCTTGCTTCCCTTCCCCCCAACAAAATCGGTGTCCTGCACAAGTGATGTAATGACATGTTCGGTGTGACTGGCAGATTGGCAATAAGAAACCCGCTATAAACTGTGATTGGATGCACATTCTCTTAGCTTCTTCCACGAATGTTGGCCCTGCCTAGATGTGAAGCTTCCCAGAATGCATAGTCATTCACTGTAGATCTTACTGAAATGCGTATTTTATTTAATGTAAGTATATTTTGGAACAGAAAAAAAAAAAAAAAAGTTTCTCAGCTATTTGAAATTCTTCTGCTGAGAATTTTTTTGTTTAGATCTGTATCCACTTTAATTGGATTATTTGGTTTATTGATTTCTAGTTTCTTGAGTTCTTTATATATTTTGGAAATCAACCCACTGACAGATGTGGTGCTTAGTAAAGAGCTTTTTCCATTCTGCAAGCTGGTGTTTTGTCCATTTGAAGGTGTCCCATGTCTTATAGAAACTTTTCAGTTTAATGAGGTCCCATTTATTAATTGTCAGTCTTAGTGCCTGAGTGGTTGGTGTTCTGTTCAGGAAGTTGTTTCCTGTGTCAATGTGTTTAAGGCCATGTTGGAGGTCCATTGTCCTGCTACAGCAGGATGCCTGTTGAAATCTATGGCCCATATTCCCACTGAAAGCCATGGTCTGCTCTGCCACCTGAAGCTATGCTGATGTCCAAGGTCAGGCTTGCCTCGAGGACCATATTTGTGTCTGGGGCCCATGTTACTGCAAAGCCATGTTAATGTCTGCAGTTTGTACTGAAGTTTCTGGATACTTCAGTAGAGACTAAGCTGTGGCATCTGCTAAAGTCAGAGGCCATGTGAATGTTGTTGGTCCTTGCTGTCACTAGAATCCATGTGGGAATCTGAGATCCATGTTCCAGCTGACTATAAAGGGCAAGGGAGCTTCTTTTGCAGTGGTATTGATGACTACAGAGATCCAGTTGAGAACAAAAAACATAAAAGGCTTCTGTGACAAAAATCTCATTCCTTGCCTCACCCAAACAAGAAGAAATAGCCTTTAGAGGAGGCCATTGAGGAGGACTCTTGAAGACTGTGATAAAAAGGCTGATGTAGAGCTCTCCAGAATTGATGGTTTCTGGCAGTGGTAGGAACAGGAAATGACTCTGTTTTCTTTGAGGGGTGGCCACTGGGAGTAGAAGCATACTCAAGTGAGTATACAGGCAACACAAATTGCACTTGATTACTTTCTTTTGTTTGGGGGAGAGGGTTGTCCACAGGTTGGGAGAGCAGATGTAGTAGAAATTCGAAGTGAGTGCAGTTGGAATGCATTATGTGAAATTTCCAAATAAAAATGTTACATTTTAAAATCAACGTGATTTTTCAATCTGGTCCTGAGCAACATTCTTTTGAGGACTTACTCCCTTGTCTTAAGTGTCCCTCTTATGATCCAGATTAAAGGAACTGGGAAAAGTGACCTGGGATGAGACTGTGCAGAAAAAAACATGACAAGTCATTACAATTCTAAAATGCCATGAAGAACAAGGTACCTTCCTACACACACACACACACACACACACACACACACACACACACACACACACACACACTCACACTCAGAGAGAGGGAGGGAGACAGAGAGAGAGAGAGAGAGAGAGAGAGAGAGAGAGGAGAGAGAGAGAGAACGAGAGAGCATAAGGCCATGTTCCTAAAGGGGAATTTTCCATTTTCCCTCCAAGACACAATCAGTGGAAACCAATGGAAACTCAGAGGTGGCAATCTTCTGTGCTGTGACTTAGGTCTTAGAAATATGAGTAGTGCTTAATAGCTGGCCTGACTCTAGCATCCATCCTTACTAGATGACTAACTTTGGACACATCTTTTCAATTTTGTATTATTTCTGTTTATGTTTTGAAATATGTTTTTGATTCTTCCTATGGCAGTTTTTTGTTTTTGCTTGTTTGTTTGTTTTTATTTTTGGAATGTGAGGATATAAAGAGAAATTAATAAACACAGTACCTTAAAAGAAGTCAAAATATACAATTTGTTCTCTGAGTACAGTCTAATTACCCACGTGTTTGGTGTTATATAGAATGTGACGACGGTTATATTGGATTTACAACTTTAGTCCTTTTCTAAGTGGTAATGGAGTGTTGTTTTGAAGCTCTGTCAGTCTGTAAGGATGTGCCCGGTAATTCCACATAGCAACAGATTAGGGAATGACAAGGAAGGAGATATTAATAGCTCTCTGCTTCGTCTTGAGTGGCTTCCTGCCCTGCCTGGTGCATCATAGAAGTTTCTATCTGTTTTGCAGGATGAGGACCCCTCAGCCTGGGCCACAGTACTGGCTGTGCTCTGGCTGCATGCCAATGGGAAAGACTTGAAGTGTGAGTGGGAGCTTCTGGAAAGGAAGGCAATGGCCTGGCTTCATGACCATGCAGGTAGGAACACAGGCTCCTCCCTTCCTCCATTCCTCCCTTTGTCCCTTTCCTCCCCCACCCCACTTTCAGGTGTGTTTCAGAGCTTTGCCTGTAAGTATACCAGAGGTTGAATACTAGAAAGTCCTCATAGTTGCCCCCACCATGGTATTTCATAGTATTGTTTGTTCCCTGAGCTAATCCTTCCTCTTCAGGATTAGGATGAAATACGAACTTGGTGGTTGGGACAATATGAGCAAAAGGAAGGAACATAGATTTTGATGCTTATCTGAGTAAGACTAACCCTAGACATGTAGCTAGTACTCCTGTATTTTTATTGTATTCTTATTGCTGGGTTCTTGTGAACACAAACGAGTAGAAGAGAATCAGAACATGAAAGGGGGAAAAAAGCTAGGGTACAGCAGGAAGCTAAATCAGAGCTGAAGGGGGTGAGAGTAATAATTGAGGAATGAGAAGCAAAAACACCTCTCTCTCTCCTCCTGTGGCCCAAAGATCTGACTCTTGTTTCTTGTCTTCACAGGCTCCTCTATCTCCATGCTTGTTCAAGCTGCCAATAAACTCCTGAAATTATCTGTGACACCTACTGTCTTTGGTCCCTGATGATGCTACCCATGAAGCAAGAATGTTCCCTGGCTACCATCAAGTCCCTTACTTTCTCCTTGGCTGAGATAGCTTTCTTGTTCTATCTGTACCTTTTTCTTTCCTGTCATAACAATAAAGGACATTCTACCACCTTGCTTATCTATTCTAGGTCCCTTTGGGTCTGATCTTCAGTCCCCATAATTTCATCTGTAAGAAGTGAACATAGTTCCCCAACATGTTTTCTTCATTGTAACTTTCATTTTATTCATATGCAGAATGACACTTGTAGTTTTATAGAGAAATTACAATGAAATAAGTGGCATAGAATCTCAAACAAGCACTGTAGCATTGATCCTGAGCCATGCCTGTAATAAACTGTACTACCATTACCCATTCAGTTTTGTTCTTCCATGATTATTTTAGGGCCATAGCAGTAAGATTTATGTTCCCAAGAGCAAGAATTGCACGGGAGTTTAAAATCAGCATCAATATAGCAAAGACAGAGACAAAAGCCATGTATTGATCTTTTCAGAACTGCTATAGACATATTGGATTTAATCCACTTATATTTGTGACTATATCACATGTATTTCTTTCCATTTCCTAAGTACCCTGGTTTAACTAATATTAGGAGCTCAGTGTTTCTACTTAATCTCTAAACATCTTGTGAGATGGCTGCCAGTCCTCAGACCTAGCCTGTGCTGTGAGCTTCCTAGGCAGGCTCAACACAAGTGTTAGAGAAGAACAGCTAGGACTAAAAATAAAGAACAGCTAGGATTTAAACTTATCATGTCAATCAGTATTCTATAATTTTTTCTTTTCTGTCACTGTGACAAAATACCTGGGAAAATTAACTCATGGGGGAAAAAAAAGATTTTGAATGGGGGATGAATCAGTGGATAAACTACCTGTGGGGAAGCCTGAGGACCTGAATTTGGATTCTCAGAGTCTATATAATAAGAAGTTGATGGGAGATGCCATTATGTATATATGTTTCTCATACTGGTTAATAATAAAGCACTGTTGGCCAATAGGAAAAGAAGATAGGAGGGACTAGGAGACAAGGAGGAAATAGGAAGTAGGAAGGAGGAGTCAAGATGGAGAGTCTGAAGAAAGCAGTATGCTGCCAGCTCCCCGTTAAGAGAAATACATAGATCAGCAGAAATGGGTTAATAATTATGGCAGAGCTAGCCGATAAGAAACAAGTAACTGGGCCAACAGTATTGTATCAAATACAGAGTCTCTGTGTATTATTTGGGGCTGGCGCGGCGGCAGGACAAGACCAAGCGGCAGGTAGAAAAACCGTACTCGTTACAAGAAGTATATGGTAGAGCTGCCTCTAATCCCAGCATCTACTGGCACAGAAAGAGGATTCCAGGAGGTCACTGGCCAGCTCATCTTGACAATGGGTGAGCTACAAGCTCAGTGAGAAACTCTCTCCTAAGTATGGTGGAAATGATAGAGAGACTCCAGTTCTTTACTGAGAAATTATTTGTGATAGCTGTAGTGTAGATTCCAAATGGGTGAGTTTAGTAAGTCTGCAATAGGAGAAAATGAATTTACAATTAGCAGACAAAAGGTAGACAGCAAAATGTCAAATCTGCAACTTGTAACATCCTTTAGAAGTGACTAGGCAAGCCTAGTTGAGGCAGCCTACTGGAGTTTCTGATCTAGAGTCCTAGGCTGAGCCCAGTATCCCCTTGGATGAAGCTGCTAAGTAAAAGACTAAATTCAAAGTAGCAGACAGAGAAACATCACCAACTTGGGTATTTACAACATCTGACTAAAATGACTAGAGAGGCCATGCTGAAAGTCATGCTGGAGGTTGATGGGAGATGTCATTATGTACATATGTTTCTCATACTGGTTAATGAATGAAGCACTGTTGGCCAATAGGAAATGAAGATAGGAGGGACTAGGAGACAAGGAGGAAAGAGGAAGTAGGAAGGAAGGGTCAAGATGGAGAGTCTGGAGAAAGCAGAATCGCCAGACCGGACGGCACGTGGCTAATAAGAACTTACACTTAAAATCTAACAAAAGCTTAAAAAAGGGTTTTACAAACAAAAGAGCACAGACAAGCAAGGTTTCTTGGTAACAGCATTTTTCTGGGTTGCACTCTTTTGTGTGAGACAAGCGAAAATTTCTGCAGCTCCTTTAAGGGAGGATTCCTGACTCAGCACAAGAGGCAAAAACCGTAAGGCTTTTAAATAACTCTGCTAAAAATTTATTGGTGTGTATTAGAGATGGCAATGGCAGTGACCACATCTCCAAGCCGGCAGCATGCCTGCTGGATGGCAGCGTTGACCAGGGCAGTGACCACAGCTTTCATTGCTGGCGGTAAAGGTACCCACCGCCATCTTTGATAACCAGGGCAGAAACAACAAAGACTTTCTTTTATTTTAGCAATGTTGTTGTTTACCAGATAAAAGACTTGTGGCCAGAAAAAGATAAAGATTTACAGTAAAGACAGATTCATATTAAGAAAAACCTCTAAAGGTTTACAGTGTGTTTTAAAATATACGTAGACATGGAAAAAAAATAAAATGGTTTTAAAGAAACAAGAGGAAAGGGGTGTGGTGGCGTGGTGGCACACACCTTTAATCCCAGCACTCGGGAGACAGAGGCAAGCAGATCTCTGTGATTTCAAAGTAAACCTGGTATGGAGAGTGAATTCCAGGACAGATAAGAGTTACACAGAGAAACCCTGTCTCAAAAAATAAAAAAGAAACAGAGTATTATAAAGCCACATAAAGATGGAAAGCTCAGAGAAAATATGGATACTGTACGGTGTTATATTGTTTTTATATTGTTTGACTGTTGAGGAAACAACTGTTAAAACAAATGCTGCTGAATTAATTCAATTTATATATTTTAAAAATGTTTTGACTCCAAAATTTAAGTTCAAGGACAAGTTACTGGGGAAAAGGATTTCTAGTTTTGTTTCCACAGAAAATAAAAAGCTGTGGATTCCTTCCAGACTAATGTGGTTTAATCAAGCCAGACCCCCTGAAACAGAGTCGCTGGTGATTCTACATTCAAAACAGCTGAACAAAGCAGCCTTGCAGACTACAGCTAGGATTTCTGCATCTTCTTAGGATGCCCATGACAGCGCCCCCTATCGGCAGTAAGTAGTTTGGAAAGAACGAAGCTCAAATTCCCAAATATTGTTTATAAATATTTGTTTTCATTTAAATGGACTTGGTTATAAATGGTTAATGATCACAACCAATATCTTTTTAAAGGTAAAAGGGAATTATGGTATAGATATGCATAGTTTGTTTTGGAATGGATTTTCATTTATTGATACCATTTAAGGTCAATTTTGTGATGTGTATATTTCTCCTTTTGTTTAGGTATTGTGTTTATGTAGTTCATTCAGAAATGTATAATGTAGTACAGATTATAGATAATTACCTATGATAGTCAAAGCTTAGAGTTAAGTTAACTAGGCTTTCAAGATACACAGAGATGTATTTGAGATAAATAGGAATTCTTCAACCTTTCAAAGACCTACAGAGTGTGGCATTTAAAATGTTTTAGGGTTTTTCTTGACAGTGAGACATAAATGCTCCTGGCAACACCACCTGTGTCAAAAAGAAGGATGGATATTGAAGAAACACGTATGGAGTTTGCTTCCAGTATGGCAAATCTAGCCATTTGGACAAGATACTGCTCTTGTCTGGACTGTTTGACTTTGTGCTATGTAACACTGAGCATGCAGGACCCACAGAAAAGTGACTGCTGATTCAAGATGGATATTACTACAGAGTTCCTACTTCATGGAAGAGTCTGCCAGACAGTCAGCAGGACACAGAGAAAAGTGACTGACAAACTGCCAATACAAGAAGACAGTTTAAAGTTTCCTACTTTGCTGAAGAGTCTGCCAGACACACTATGGCCTATGGGCTGAAGATGGAAGATTACAGAAGAACTTCAGGTGACTGACAATGCAAGATGTCTCTGTCATTTCTAGAGTTTATATACTATCCTTCTGTGGTCTTTGAAGGAGTTGAAGACTCCTGTGATTCTTATTTGAAAACTGTTGTGTTATATATTTTGCTATGTTAAGGTTAAAACCCTTCTTTTTATTTAGACAGAAAAGAGGAGATGATGGGAGATGTCATTATGTATATATGTTTCTCATACTGGTTAATGAATAAAGCACTGTTGGCCAATAGGAAATGAATATAGGAGGGACTAGGAGACAAAGAGGAAAGAGGAAGTAGGAAGGAAGGGTCAAGATGGAGAGTCTGGAGAAAGCAGAACCGCCAGCCGCCTCTCCCTGGTAAGATCACGTGGAAATACATAGAAATGGATAATAAGAAACTAGTAACTGGCCAACAGAATTATATCAAATACAGAGTCTCTGTGTGTTATTTGGGGCTGGCGCGGCAGCGGGACAAGACTAGGAGGCGGGTGAAAAAAACATACTCGATACAGGAGGTTCTGATCCAGAGGTCCCCAGGAGACTATGAAAGATCTTCCAGTGTCTCCTTCCCCCTGTGAGCATATTTTAATATCATGGGATAAAGAATAGTAACTCTGGCAGAAAGTGATTTATAGTGTAGCGGTTCTTAGATGCCCATTGTTTTTAGGGCCCTTAGCTATTTGCTATTCTTCTTCTTTCTTGGTCTCAGCTTCTGTGGACTAGACTGTTCTTTTACAAGGTGTCTTGAAGGATGGAAGACAAACAGTTTCAACTGTGAGGCAAGGGCAATCCATCTTGTTCTTAGAGTATGCATTCAGCAAGCACAAACAGCACATGGCAATTTACCACAAAATTTATAATACTCAATGTCCACTTTTGACTTGAAAACATGTACCCCTGTGCGCGCTCGCGCGCACACACACACACACACACACACACACACACACACACACTTACACACAAAGAAAAAGACTGAGTTGGGTTGAATTGAATCATAGCCTTCAGGCTTTTAGAGGCATAAATCAGAATATTCAGGTACCAGCTGAGATTTCTAGGTTCTTCTGCTGTTAATGAAGGGTGCTTCCTCTGT